GTATATTGAGATTGGAGTAAAAATTCCAAAATATTTAAATAACGCTACTTGTATTCCATATAATTTTTACTAGAAATAAATATACCTAATAATATTTTTATTTGGATATAGATCTTAATGCTCTTGATGCCCTTTACACTGTTATCAATCTTAGTCTATTTAATTTAATTCACTTATTACTGTAATTAAATTTAAGATGACATATTATTGCAAAATAAGATAACTTCTAGCATATTGAGATTAGAGTAAAAATTCCAAAATATATAAAAATTAAATTTAGAATTTTTTTTAATTTAATACCTTTAAATATATAAAGCCAACGCGAATTTAGTGATCGGTTGGTTTCACACCTACGGACCTATAGGCTTACATCATTTTAAGGTTGACGCTATCAGTTTTAGCCAGCGCCCTAGCAACTAGTTGGGATGAGCCTGTATACTCAAATCTTTACAGCATGAGTTTTTGCTATTGGCTCCTTGTCCTGGCTCCTCTCATAGTAAAAATAGTTAATTGGGATGCTATTTCAATTTTTTTGTTGTTTTTAAAAACGGCTAATTTCACGTAGTACTGGTAAATACACTTATTTTTTTTTTAATTAGAATATGTAACACACGAGTTACCCAGTTTATGAGTCAAAAGCCAAACATAAATAAAATATAGTTTCGATCAAGGTTTCAATTAAATGTTTATTTCAATATATAGTTTCAGTACAATAGGACTGGGACAACATATATGAATAAAATTTATTTACTTTTTAGTAACTTCACTGATCCATTAAATATAATTTTTTTAATTAAATCTTGCATTTTATACCAATTTTTGTATATCATGGCTAAGAGACGGATAAAGACATAGCAATTTGACGTGTACCTATTAGATATATTATGAGAAAATAATATATAAAAAATAATGAATACATTTCTGTTATTCTTTTGGATATTCTTTCGGAAACTATTTTATAGATTTTAAAGGTTTTTAGAAAAATAAAAAATAAAATTACTGTATATATAATTTGCCTTAAATAAACTTAGTCGTCCTTGGTTAAAAAATATATTGGTTAAAAATTATTATAAATTAAAAAGTGAATAATATTTTCTATGTATAAATTAAAAAAAACTGAAAGAACTTTAACATGCACTTAAAATAATTGTATTTATTATAAAGGAAAAAAGAAATATATTTTTTAATATTTCCTTTTTTATACATTCCGAATTTATTTTTGAAAATAAATTCGAGGAAGTGAAACCAATCAAGTGTGAGTAATAAAAATAAAAGTTAAATATTGGTAATTTTTCAAACTTTATGGAGCTCACTTTTATCAGTGCACAGGCAATCAGATTATTTAAAAAAAATTTTAAAAATAAAAGAAAAATGAAATATGCTTCTGGACATGAAATTTTTTATTGTTATTGAAAACTTCAAATGTTGTAAAAATAATAAAATATTATTTAAATCATTCATTTGAAATTTCTAATATTTGAGTGGTTCATAAAATTCAGTAATATAAATTTTATGTATAATATAAAAAATGTTTATTATTTATAATTTTTAAGTTGAAAGCAATTTTAATTCATCAAAAATTTATTACTTATTTATTATTTATTTGTTCCAAAAATGAAGATATAATATCATTTTTGCATTTTTTCAATAATCGATATTAGAGTACAAATACTGAGTTTCATTTATGTATATATACATATATATATATACATAAGTAAGTAAGTATATTTACTTACTTACTTAGTTAGCATTGCAGACGTGAGTTGTCCTTGATTGCGTCGAGTAGCCTCCGCCACCCAGCCCGATTAGTTGCTTGCTGTCGCTAGTTAGTAACAACGGTTCCCAAATCGGTGGTCATCTGGGCCTTCCTGCGGGTATCGAATCAAACACCTTTCTAGTCAGAGCACTTTCTTTCGCTCGAACAATATGACAAAGCCACCGAAGCCGCTGAATTTTTATGCTCTTAACTATGTCAATGTTGCGGTATAGCTCCTTCAGTTCATCGTTCCATCTAATATGAAACCCCTCGTCAGCGCGTAAGGGACCATACATCTTCCGAAGAATATTAGGCATATATTATATTATGTTAGGTGTATATTATTATAAAATAATATTTAATAAGATATAGTTTTTCAGTTAAATTTAATGTCAGCTTCAGTTATTTAATTTTTAAGCACTTATAAATCAGCTTGTAAACTGGATGAGGTATTGATTTCAAGATGATTCCATTTATTTCTTGTATTATCGATATATTATTGGCTACAAAATTGTGGGGATAAGGATATGAAGGAATTATGTTATTAATTCATGCTATTGCCATAAAATCAAGAATATTAAAACTGTTAATAACAAACTACATTCACACCCAACTGTGATAATTTCTTATTGCTTATAGGTGAATTCTCCACCTACACATAAACCAAATTAAGCAATTTTTAAAATTATGAATATATTGTATACATTATTATTATTACTCCTTCTATTAACTCCTTCTATTAGTAGTAGGAGTCTACTACTATCTTTGCACGCGATTCATTAATTTTTTAAAAATATGTCTAGCAGTAATGCCATTCTATAAATTTCTATTTATAAGTAGAATTTATTTCTAAATTCAAATTTAATGTGAAAAATAAATATTTTTGATAATATATTTTACAAAATTTAATGGAATGAATTTAAGGGTACACACGAAATATGTAAAGTGCATGTTAAATAATTTTTAAAAATACTTCCAAAATGATATTGTTCTGATAAAAATATTTTTAGAACAGAACTTGATAATTACTTCATTAGAAAAAGCTAGAATTAGAAATAAAACATCAATATTTTTGGCGCTAAATTTTTTTAAATATACTTTAATTGAAATTTTTTAGGTATATGTAATGTGTGAAGTGCATGTTAAATTATTTTTTAAAAATATTTTTCAAACTGATGACACTGAAAATTTAAATTTTTAAATAATATTTAATAATAAATTAAAATAAAACTTAATATATTTTTTAACATATTTTCCAAAATTTTATTTAAATGAAATTACGTGCATATACATAAAAAGCGGGGTACAGCGTTAATAATATTATTAATAAAAAAAATTTAAAAATAAAATAATTAAAATAAAATAAAATAATAAAAATAACGCGATCGTAAAAATTTCAGTTTTTTAATTAAATTATGATAAAATTGAATCAAAATTAAAAATTAGTAATTAGTTGATAATTTTTATAATTTTATTTATACATATTTTTTACGAAAAGTTCAGCTTATTATTTTTACAATGGTCTTTGAAAAAGTGGTCTAAAATATAAATTCTTAAAAGCCCATAGGTCCGTATCTTCTAGGAAAAAAATTTATAAATTTTTTCTCGAAGCACGGGTATTTTTGTTCCAAAAACGGTCCTTAAGAAAAAAAATAAAATCCAATAATTGTAGTTAGTAATTTTGTAGCTCATGAATATAATTCATCGAATATATTTATATATTTAGTCTTTCGAACGTTATTGCTAAAATCTTTAACTTATATATAATTTTATATCAAATAAATAGAATATTTTTATAAATAGAAATTAAATTTCTTAATTGTAATTAAATTCTTAATAAAAACTATTTTCGTAATAATATGGTTTTTTATACAATTCAAATATTAATTAATTTAATTAATAATTTATTTGGTTGAAATTAATTTAAAGAGTTTAATCAGTTAATTGAATGTGATGTTAATTTAATTACTGTACTGGTTTTTCTTACTTAATAATATCTAATTCTATTAAATTTTTTCTTAAATATTTGTGTGTAATATAATATGTATTTTCCACATTAAATAGTTTAATTTAATTGTTTTGAACTTTTACAAATATTGTGAACT